TATTAGTCCTAGGCAGGGGTGATTGGGATCCTCTTGGAGACGGTGGTCATTATAAATATGTATTCAAATTTTCCAACCACTTGCTCTGTGCTTGCTGCTGTGTTGGCCTTCAGGGAGGTAAGAATGAGTCAGAACCTCCCTTCCCCTTCCCCCAAGATCTATGTGTTGTGGGGTGAGGGTGTGGGGGTTGGGAAGGTCAAGCAGACTTGAAAACAGATGGTGTTATAGAGTACATTAAATATCACAATAGTGTTTTTTTAAATTGCTTTTCTGTAATTCATATTCATAGCACAACATTTAAGTGATCATGAAAAGTAAGTTTCTTTTCCTCCTATACAGCTATACACTCTTCTAGCTCAGAGGCAGCAACCATAACCTGCTTTGTATATCCTTCCAGAACGATTCCATGCACATACATAGACACCCCCCTTTTAAACAAAAAGATAACACTATGCAAAGTCATTACTTTTGGTGCTGGTGTTCTTCACTTACGCTATCGGGAAGAATCCTCTCTGGTACAGAGCTCTGCGTTCTGGCTGCCTGGTATTGTATTGCCTGCGTGAGCCACACTTGATCTCACCAGTCCCTTATTACTGAGTCCTTGGTTTGTTTCAACCGTCCTGATATTAGAAATCAAGCAGCTGTGATTCTCCTTGCATAACCACCCTTTCTACTGTGTGAGTATAAATGTAGGAGAAGTTCCTGGCAGTGGAATTGTTGCAGCAAAGGGTTTGTGCATTTGAAATATTCCTAAGTAGGGTTTCTAGCAACTTACCCTCCTACCCACAATGTGTGAGCTTGCTGCTTCCTCACACCTACACCCACTCGGTAAGTTATCAAACTTTTCAAACTTTGCCAATCCAGTCATTGAAAAATGGCCCCTCAATATAGTATTACTTTGCATTTCTCCTATATTGAGTGGGGTTCCACATTTTGTCACACTTTCCAATCACTGGTATTTTCTGTGAGTTACACAAATAATTTGCTTATTTCTCTACTGAGCTCTGAACCCTTATTATTTATTTATTTATAGGTTCTACTTATAAATCAAAGGCACACGTGACTGCATGATACGCTTTAGCAACAATGCTTTTTGGACAAGTTGCTTTTAGACAGAAATGAGACGTTTCTGCGGGGTGCATTGTTTTCTGCCATCACTGCAGATCTGAGGGAGGGCAGGGAGCCGCTGTGCCAGGTTGGGTTCTGGGAGGTGAGGTTACGGGTGGGGGACGTGGGGTGGGCAGGAGGCAGTCAGCTTTTGCACTAGGTGGAAAGGGCTGTCGCAAGAAACAGTGACAGGAGGTGGGCAAGCAGGTGGGTCTGGCTCTAAGACCCTTTGCCTCTCATCTGAAATCTCTGAAGACAGACAAGTCAGAAGTGGAGGACCATCCATAGGATCAATTTCTAATCATGCACACACGACTGGGTGGTTACTGCATCTGAAGCGCCAGGTATTATTATTTAATCATTTTTATGAACGCTCTACAATGTAACTCTATAAGGTGCTAAATACTTGCAATGAATGAACGAACAAATGAATAATGAATGAATCCATCTACTAAAAGGACGTGAGGCCCTGCTGTTTCTGAGCCTGGAGGGAGCCCTCCTCCCCTTCTTCCCCCTTTGAACCTGCCCTCTCCTCTCTCTTCCTCTTACCCCATCTGAGTCATGTCTCATCTGGTCCTTGTCCCAGCCCCCCCCCGCCCTATCCTCCAGCACCCCTGCAATTGTCTTAAGGTGAATCCAGCTGTCACAGTCAACCGTCTAAAGCGGCCAGATTCACTTTAAGAAAATACAAGCCCATTAGGCCTCCCGGCTCCTCCACTGCTTACACCACCTAGCCTGCCCTTCAAGGCCTCTTCAATCTGCCTACTTCTCTTCTTTCCTCTCCCAAGTCCCCACCACCCACTTTCCCCACCACCCACCTCTTACACACAAGCTTTTCCAGCAAAAATAAGGGTCACATTTTCAGGGGAGAAAATAATAATAATAATAATAATAATGAACAGCTATATACTAGAGACATTTTATGGGGGTGGAGTGGGGACTGGGATCAAAAACAGTGTGGGGAGGGAAGTGCACTGGACTATGGTGATGGCACACGGGTGATTTGGTGATGGGAAGCCTATGGGGATTACAACTGAGTTGGAAAATGTCGCAAAATTATGGAAAAATAAACTATTATTTTAAAAAACTCCATAAAAATAATAAGGGTCACATTTACCGACCACTTAATATATGTACTTTTACATGGATTATTTTGCTTAAGCCTCACAACTAACTATCTGCGAGAGCTGTGAGGTGATGACATTATTATCTCTGCCTTATAGATGAGGAAACCAAGACCCAGAGACATTTAAGGGCTCAGCCATGATGACCCAATGAGTAAGATAACAGAGTTGGGACTCAGACTACTCAACCATCCCCACGACTGGAGTGCCCAACTACTGCACTAGTTAGCTGGGCACCTATCCAGGAGTGTGCTATCTAGCTCCTTTGCTTTGCTTCTGCTGGTACCAACTGGAGGCTTCTCCCTCCTATTGTCTCCCTGCTCATTCTTTAAGGTCTTGTTCATAAGGCAACGCCTCTGCAAAGACTTTTCCAACTCCCCTAGAGTTGGCTTCTCTGGGCCCTCCCTGGTGGCACAATGGGTTAAAGTGCAGCACTATGAAGCTAGCTGCAGCCACTGCAGTGACTTGGATCCCAGCCAGGGAGCTGGCCCACATGGCGCCGCAGACCTCTCCTGTCTCACTTGCTGTTCCCCTCAGCAGTGTACTTTGTCAATCTGCCTGTTCTGCTCCCTGCTCTGTCTCAGTGAATCCTCTCACCCCTGCCCCCACATCTCTGGCCTATACCCCAGTTCTTGTATGCATAAATAAATTAAAAAAAAAAAAAGAGCTGCTTCTCACTTTTGGAGCTGACAATTGAGAACTCAGGCTGGGATAACCCGGGGACCTTTTTTCCTGATCAGATGCAGAATGCTCCAGTGGACAGGAATTGATCGCTATTTCCCTCTACTATCCAGCACAGAGTGTATGCTCTCTAAATGTTTGATAGCTGAATGATAGTGATCCCAGGATTCCCTCAAAAAAAAAAAAAAAAACAGTTGGGGAGGACTTCTATGAGTCTCCATTTAACTGGGAGGGAGCAAGAAGCCACAGGGCCTCAGAGGAAGAGGGCAGTTGGAGACAATTTCACTAACTTCACCACTTGCTCTTAGGCTGAGACTCACCCCAGAGTCCAGCTGACAGGGGAGTTCCATCCTTACACCATGCATAGAAGATTTGGGAATTAGCTGTCCTGCCCCTCAAGGGGTTTTCCCCTCTTGCAGTGCTAGGAACGGAACCATGAAGGGAAGCAATCCTGGCAGGGTTGCTAGATCCTACAGGCAGAAGGATGGCCAGAGTCCCCATGCTCAGCCCTAGGTGGCCACAGCTGAGGCCCTTTGGACCTCAAAACCAAAGTGTTCTATGACTTTGGTAAGAGGGTAGTTCCGGGGTGGATGGGGACTTCCTCACTGTGTGAGGGAAATTGCTCCATCCCTAGAATTGTGGTAAGAACTGTACCGCTGTCTCATCTGCTTGACACTATGCCCTGGTTTGTGAGCTTGATCTTGCAAAGTCCTCAGGCCTTTTATAGGGATTCCTCACTTTGATCCCTATCCTTAGCCAACTGGCTCCTCCCTCTACGGCTGTCTCACTTGGGAACTTACTAAGGGGCTCTATGCTTCCCATCAAAATGCCTCAGCCAGGGGCCTCCCTGATGGCCCAGGGATGGTCTCAGTGCTACCACTTCGGTGGCCTACCTCAGTAGCCTGAGCTCAGTCCCCATCCAGGAAGCTGGTCCTCATGGGCAGCAGACCTCTCCTTTCTTACTGGCTGCTCCCCTCAGCAGTGCACTTCAGTTGATCTGCCTGTTCTGCTCCCCACTCTATCTCTGATGAATCTTCTCATCGCCCTATACCTCTGGCCTATACCTCAGTTCTTGCATAAGTAAAAATAAATCATTTTTTAAGTAACAAAAACAAAATGACTCAGCGTTGACCAGTACATCCCAAAGACTAGTAGACAGGACAGCAGGTGGCTAGGGGTTTAGCCTCTGGGGCTAGTTAGATATGGGTCCAATTCTCAACTCACTGTGTGACCTTGGGTCATTCACTTACACCCTGAGCTCCATTTCTCTATCCTAATGAGGAGAAATACATTTGAAAACAACAAGATTATGGATTTGTTCAATGGAGCACATCTTGTTCAAAGGAAGATGCTGTAGACTAGGGGCTCTCAAATTGTGGCCCCTGGACCAGTCCCCTACCAAGTACGTGTGACAGGTCCCCACCCCTGCTCTATTGAATCAAAAACTCTGGGGTGGAGCTGAGCAACCCTTCAAGAAACCTTTGAGGAACACAGCCACAGATACACTGAACAGAAGCACAACATATTAGAAGATGATTACAATATTAACACCCAAGATATTAGACAGTTCACTGAAAGGGAAACCCAGTGCCTCACAGGCACAGGAGGTCCTGAATCTCAGGATTAACAGAGAAATGTAAACAAAGAGGTTCTATCTTCTACCCAAACTGTGGGCAGAAATGACAAAGTCAGCTCATAAAAAAAGTTGATGAAAATATGGGGAGACAGCATTTTTCATGTGTGTGATAAGAGCCAGTCTAGCCCAATTTAACAAACTTTTCAATGTATGTGCTGTGTAATCTAGAATTCTATTCTCAGGCATAGAACCCAAAAGAAATTTTCACATAGACCCATAAGGGTCATGAACAAATATGCTCAACACAGTGTATGTGATGAGGAGTTGGAAGCAACCTGAGTGTCCATCATGGGAGGTGGCGGGGGGAGCATGGATATATAAAATAGTGGATACTCAGCTTGGAATAGTATGCAGCAGCTAAAAGCAATAAGCTAGATTTCCCCATAGCAACATAGGTAGATCTTACAACGGTATATGGAGTGAAAAAAGGAAGCGTGAGAATGAGATCCTTACACCAGTTCTATTTATATAGTATAAACGCACATGCAAAGTACTGTGTGTTTTATGTCCAGGGACATATGTCAGTACAGAGGGATGGCTGTCCATGTGGGGAGGGGAAGGAATATGGGGACTGCATAGACAGGAAGAATAAAACATCAGAAGGGCCTTGCACAATCAATTATGATGGGATAGTCATTTGCTACAGATAGTAGGAGTCATGGAACTCTCTGCACCTACCTGATGCCCTAATAACAACATTACAATAGGTAATGATGGCACAGGAGATACTACGTGTCTGTAACATTTTACAAATAAGGTTTAGCTTTCTATGCCAGCCTCCTCTCAGGGATCATTCACTTTCTGCTCCAAGCCTTCACTCAGGCTGATTGGGTAATGACTCCTCTCCCTCTCCAAACCTCCACCTCTGCAGGTTTTTCCGCTATCTCAACCCTGCTGTGGCTGGCTTTGGTGTCTTGGGCAACTTTCACTTGAGCTTGAGCACAAAGCGGGCTGTAATAGAGCTGTGGTAGGTGAGTCCACTTCCCTTTTCTCAAACTGTGAGCTCCCTGAGTGTCTTACCCCCTCCTCAGAGTCCATTCCCTTGAAACCAGGCAAGACAGGTAAAGAGTCAGAAAGTTTTAGATGTAAAGGGAACAGCCCTTCTTGAGTATCTGTCACACGCTAAGGTCTGGTCTTGACCTTCATTCATCCCCTCAAGCACCTGGTGAGGTCGGTGGGGCTGGCCTTGAGGGACAGATGAGGAAAAAGGAGGCACAGGGCAGCTTGGGCACCTACCACACAGCAGGCCTAGGTCGCCTGTCTCCAAAGCCAAGAGCTGAACAAGCGACTTGTTCAGGGTCTTAGGGCCAGAACTGGAACGTACATCGCCTACGCAGGTCTGAGTCAACCACGCTCAGTAGAGAAAGCTCTGTTCCAATTTACGCCATGGAGAAAAGAGAGACCCTGCCACTCACAGCCTTAAAGTCTCTCTAATGTATTTATTAGGGTCATCTTGAGGAATACTAAGGAGAATCAGGAGATTCCCTCAAGTCCTTTCTCTTTTGAACTCCAGTCTATTAAATAGTAAAACAAGAGGAACTGCGGTCTCTGGTTCTGAAAGTCCTTTTCTCGGTTGCCCAGCAGGTGGAGCCCCTGTTCACCCCTCCCCTGGCCTCCAGAAGACTGCGGAGCTGGGGTGGGGTGGGGTGGGTAAGGGGAGTAGTGGCTCTGGGGCACTGCCCCCCTCCTACCTCTCCAGGCTAGTGAGACAACATGGGCGGACGGCGCACCTGCCGCTGACCAACTGCTCAGCACTCAGCAGACCGCCCCCTGCAGGGGTTTCGCGGTACTGCAGGGACCGGCGTCCCGCGGGCAGGAGGACAGTGGAGGCCCGGGAGGGTGACGGGTGACGGCCGGCCGGCGGTCGGGATGCGAAGAGGGAACTCCAGGAACAGGGTCCCAAAGGCTATAGGTAGTTGTCTTCCGCCGTGTCGCCTGGGGAGTCCTGGGCCTCCTCCTCCGTGCTTTGGTCCTCGTCGTCGTCAGGGGCCAGCGCCTCGATGTCGTGCGTGATGTCGGCCAGCAGGCGGTGGAAGGCCTGCGCTTCGGGCCGCTGGGCCGCGCCGTCGTAGCTGCGCACCGCGGACGCAGACGTGGAGCTCATGCTGCGCTTGATGCGGCCAAAGCTGTCGGTGAGGATGCCGCCCTCCCGGATGCCCACACCCTCCAGGAAGCCCTCAAAGTAGCCGATATCCTGGTCTGGGATGAAGGGGCGCATCCCTGCAGGCCGAGGGGCAGGGTGAGTTCCCGGGGTTCGGCCCATTTCCCTCCCACGGAGCAGCTACCTTCTGCAGAGGTCTGGACTCACACTCCCCACCTCCCCACCCCTGCCCTGGCCACCTGCCGCACGACCTGGCACGAATGCCTCTACTATCTGAGCCAGAGGACAAATGCCTGCCACAAGGTAAACGCGCACCCCGTGTGAGCTCACTATTGTCACTGATACTATTGCCATTGTTATATTCCCATAGAGCAGCTGTGTAAGCTTGATTAAAGAACAACTCTGAGTCTTAATTTCCTTGCCTATAACATTGAGATAAGTGTACCTGTCCTCCCAGCAGCGACGTGCAGATGAAGTAAGGTATTTAAGACACACAGAGTACCCCCTAAAAGTTAGCTAATTTGGGCCCTCCCTGGTGGCGCAGCTGGTTAAAGCACAGCACTAAGAAGCTAAAGCCACTTCCGCATGAGTTCGATCCCGCCTGCCCTGGAGGTGACCACATGGCGAGGCAGACCTCTCCTGACCCGCCCGCTGCTCCCCTCAGCAATGTACTTCATCAGTCTCCCTATTCTGCTCCCCACTCTGTCTCTGGTGAAGCCTCTCACCACCCCTGCATCTCTGGCCTGTACCCTAGTTCTGTATGCACAAATAAATAAATCTTTTAAAAAGTTAGCTAATTTACTCCCATCACTACTTGCTATGTGACTTCACTCATTTCCTTTGCTTCTCTGAACCTGTTTCCTCATCTGCAAAATGGTGGCTAGTAAGGGTTTGGTTCCCAGAACAGAAGTCATACAATGTGGGGGTATCATCCGCTAATGGCCACATACACCTTGGGTTGTTAGCATGCCTCTGGTTGTCTAGTCCTCCTTCTTGACTGTACTGAACGAGTGCTTTAGCCTCCCCGAGTCTCCGCTTCCTGCGAGGCCATGAAGGGAGGAGCCAGTCCCACCTCAGCCTCGCTGCGAAGTGCTACACCTTCTTCCTGGTTCTCACCGCAGGGCAGGCAAAGCCCTGCCCTTCCCTATGCCTCTGGCTCCTCTGCAGCCCCATGAGTCTCATGACCATGGCCTCTTGGGAAGGTGAAGGATAAGGAGAAATACGCCCACCCTGGTGCGTGGACTGTGCAGGGCCGTGATGCTGGGGCCGGCTCACCCAGGAGGAGGAACTTGCGCCGGTCTCCATAGAGCTTCAGCAGCCCTGCGCAGTACTCCTGGATGGAGAGCCCCAACCGGTACTCTCGGAGCAGCAGCGCGAACTGTTGGATCTCAGGGGGCCCCAGTTTACTCCGCAACTGAGAGACAGCATTCAAGATCAGTCCAGGACAGCCCCCCCACCCTTCCTGGAAGACCCAGACCCTCCCCAAGAGCATACTTGGCCCATGCCTCCTTTGAAAACCCTCCGATAACTACTGGGGGATGTCCAGCCCCCCTGCACTGCACCTAAGAATGGGGTGTGCAGCCTCACCCATTTGCTACAACCACCAAGCTGTCTGAATTCGAATCCCCACCCCTCCATTTGTCAGCTTGGGTAGGTGACAACAGTGTTCCTGACTCCGACTTTCCTCATGTGCAAAGTCAGGGTAATGATGGGGCCTCGCAATAGAGCTGTTGAAAGGACTGGAAGACGTGATTCATAAATTATGCTTCACAGAGTTCTGGAATACAGCAAGAACTCAGTTAAAGCAGGTTGACATTATTAAGGCCCTTCACAAGCTGTCTCCATTTACTCTAATCTCGTGTCCCACCTTGACTTCCAATCTTATGCTTCTGTTATGGCCAGGATTATTTATGATTTCTGAAATACCTCCATGTTTTCTGCAGCCTCCAGGCCTTTGCTGGTGCCATTCCCACTGCCCAACCCAGCTTACCGTGACCATGTAATCCTGCAGCTGCTCGAGGCCCAGGCCACTGTGGTCACTGCCACTGCAGTGGGAGCCGTGGAAAGAGGGTGTGGATGTGCCACTGTAACAGGCTTCAAATGTGTCCTGGGAGCCATTGCTGCAGAGACATGTGGAAAGGGAGCCTCAGTCACCTCCCTCCAGCTCCTCTTCCTGTGATAGGCTGAAGGTGGGGGGGCACAACTACCAATCATCTAGGGGGGGATCCTCATCCTAGACCCTATTTTGCCTTCCAAGGACCCACAAGAGCTGGTGCCTGGCAACCTCTCAAGTCGAGTCTCTCACTGTGCACTCCCTTGCAGAAGGCAGTGTCTTTCTTTTCGCCCAATACTCCAAGCACTTTCTCAGTCTGGGCCTTTACACATGCTGTTCCCCCTGCCTGGAATTCCACTCTCCCCCTCCCTTTTACTCAACTAACTTTACTCATTGGATCTTAACTGTTACTTCCTCAGGAAATTTTCACTGATCCTCTGGACTGGGCTAGAGCCTTTGTCTAACAAAACCTGTAAGTTTACTCAAGACAGGTGAGGCTTTTCTGGATCACCCACCAAATGTCCTCTCCTCACACTCTCTGCCAGTCAGACAGGCCTCTGGAAATGCTGCAAACAAACCCAGTTCCACCCTGCTCCCAAATCCTTGCCCTGCAACCGTCTTCATGATTGCCATATCTCCAGCATCTGTCAGGTTAAAGATTGGCCTAAGGTGCACAATATTAGGGAGGTAAATATATTTTCTCTAAAAGGAAAAAAAGTAGGGCATACATTGCCAGCAGAGGACTGTTACTTATCGAGCCATAGCTCTTAGTACCAGAATTAAGGTGACTAACCGGGTGACTAACTAATAGGGTGACTAACATCCCAACTTGCCCAGGACCATTCTGCTCTTAGCACTGAAAACACTGTGTCCTGAGAAACCCACAATCTTGGGTAAACTGGTGTGGCTGGTTGGTCACTAAAAAGAGCCCTGGACAGTGCTCTTGACTGTTTTTTTTTTTTTAATTCTACATTTTCCAGCCTTGTTTATAGCTACATATGGCCAAGTGACTAAGTTTTGGCCAATGAGATGTAAGCAGAAGTCATCAGGTGGGAATTCCTGCAAAGCTCTTTAAAGTGGCCCCTGGCACTCTGTTGTGATGGCTGGAGCTACAACCACCATCTTGGTCTGTGAAGCGACTTGGAAGATGGAAGCAAGTGCTGAGGAGGGAGAGAAAGAGAGCTCTGAGCCCTTGATGACCATGGGGACAAGAACTCCTGGTGTGTTACATACAATAGGTGGGGGTTCTCTCTTACTTAGTTTATTCCTTTTTGAGGGGGGCGTCTATTATGTGGAATCACAACTAAAGTAAACCAAAATTATTTTGGCATCAGCTGTGACCTTGGACTCTGCAGACCACTGTCTGGGTGACTGGAGAGAGTGCAAGTCTACACAGACTCAACTTTCAGTTCTGGTTGTCCCCTGAGCCTCTCAGGAGTCTGGGTGCTCTGAGCCCATCAAAGCCTGGGGAGCTCAACTGACCTGCCCTCAGGGCCTAGTGTCTGCACAAACCTAGGAAGGATCATTTCCTCCCACCCTCTCTGGCCCACGGGGATCTCAAGGGCGCCTCGAAGAACCTCGCTAGAGCCTATGGCGGGAGGGCATCAGCAAGGGCAGTACCCACAAGGAGCTGCAGCAGCTGAAGTCGGCGTCATAGGCGTATGTCCCATCTGTGCGGCAGCTCTCACCTGGGACCACAGAAGAGGGGCTGTCAGAGGCACCAAAGCAGGGACCTTCACTCCGGTCCCCCGAGGCCCCACCTCAGCCCCACTCTGGCTTGTAATGGGGCTGGAGCAGGGTGCTAAGCAACTGGAGGTGCTAGCTTCTACCCCGACGGGAACGGCTAGCCGCTGAAGGAGTCGGGCCATGACTCCTGCCCCAATGCCAACACGCAGCCGGCCTTGGGTGACTTATGTCCTCTCTCCACATCCTCATGTTAGGCAAACAGCCATTTTGAAGTAAGACAAAAAGGACTTTGTGGGGAGGAAGGACCGCAAAATCTTGAGAGGAAAGAAGCAACATTTTAGAAGAACCTGCTTTGCACCTTGCTCTGTTATCACTGAAAGTAGGCAAGAGCCTCACTCATCCTTCCAGCCTGGTTCTCTCAGGCACTCCCCTGACTTCCCAGGTGAGGCCCAGGCCACTTCCACACTGTCTGTTCTAAGCAGCGCGGTGTGTGGTTACTGTTGTGTAACTAGCGACTGTCAGCCTAGCTCAGCAAGGTGAGATTCCCAAGTCTGGGCTATGTCTGGTTTGGGTCATCAGTGCTGACCAGCACTAAGTCTGACACATTATAGCAACTTGATACATGATTGTTGAATGACTGAGTGGCTGGAAATATCGTTGAGTCGTCTCATTCATTTGCCCATAATTCCCGTGAGAGTCGATGAGGGAACCCAAGTGTCCAACAACCACTGACTTCACAGGTGGGAGAGTCCTCACGAGGACAGAGCCAGCTCCCCGAGGCTGGGGCTACACCGACAAAGACCACAGTGAAGGGGCTGCAGCTCAGGAAGCTCACTGGGGGGCCGCGGAGGCAGCCTGAGGAGTGAGCCTGCTGCAGGCAGAAGCTTCAGAATCAGACACACCTGGGCTTGAATCCCCACCCTGCCCCTTACGAGCTGTGTGGTCTTGAGTCGTTTATGGACTGCTCTGTGCCAGAATGTCCTCATCTGTAAAACTGGAATCATAAAGCCTCGGAGAGATCTTTTATCCATTCAAAAAAAAAAAAAAAAACAGTTCTCAAGTTTCTCAAGTATCTGGGTTGTGTCTGGTCCCACACTGGGCACTTCTGTGGCAAACAGGCCAGGCAGGCTGCTTCAAGGATTTCATATGGCTTGGCTCACCAGTATGGTGCCTGGCACACAGTTGTGCTCAGTAAGTGCCTCTGTTCTCATGCTTATTCTAGTCCCTGACTGCTTTCAAGGAGCCACTGGAAATCTTGATTTTGGCCTAGACTCCTGCTGGGCTGGAAGGGTCAGCACACAGACAAGGCAATTGCTCAGGTTTCTGCAAAGCAGGAATGCAAAAAGCCAAAGGGAGAGAGAGCTTCAGCTCTGAGGGGCTTATTCTGAATCTGGTAGATGGAGCATCTGTGAAAAGCTGGGCTTGAAGTCGTGATGAAAACTGACACATAATACATGTTGGCTACCTATTTGGGCTTGCTATAATTTCCGTAGCCATTGGGGTCCCTGATGGCTTTCATCAGCCCCAGTCTTGGACCACCTTCCTACACCCACCCTTTAGGATGTGTCCGAGGAGAGTGGCCAGGAGCGTGAGTACTCACTGCGGCTGTAGAGCCATGGCCGTTCAGGCGTGGACGTGTAGTGGTAGCCGGCCCGGTCCACGCACTCAATGCTCTGATCCCCATAGATGATCTGGAAGACCTGACAGATGAGGGCGCAGGACTCCTCAGCAGCATCCTGGCCCAGGGAGGAGGACAGGGAGCTCAGGGCCTTTCCAGTGACCAGGACGCCCCTGCTTCCTAAAACTCAGTGTGAGGAGGCCCCAAGGGCGTACCGGAGAGACACCCACAGCACAGACACCTTTAAGTCGATTTTGAGAAAATCCCCCATCACAATTACATGGCCACTCCGAGTCTTGGAGCTCTTTATAGAAGTCTGAAAATGCACAATGTACCCCATATTTCAGGGGGAAGTTTATGGGCCCTCTTAAGACTTATCTAAAATAATTTCTAATCTAGTTTAGAGATAGGAAGCTGAGGCCCAGAGAGGTGAATTAGCCAGACTAGAACCCAGGTGCCCTAATATGTAGTAAGATGAGGAAGAATTAAATGTATGGAAGTTTTAGGCTCAATACAGTTGTCACTACTAGATGCCATATGTAGATATGAGCTTCCTCACACCCAGAAGAAAAATGGAGGCAGGATGAATAGATAAACTTCAGTCTCTGATAAAAGGAAGAAAATTAAGTGCATGGGTGAAACTTTTTTGAGACTGCAAATCTGAAGAGGAATTTGCTCCTTTAGTTTGCCTCTCTGTCTTTGAGACATAGAAAACAATAACTAATGAAGAAACAACCATCAGGAATTCATTCTTATTTTGTGCCTCCGAAAAAGCCCTGGGTATAAATTAAAGTTAACCTAGTAGGCATTTTGGAATAGGGGCATGTCCTGGTCATTAAACCAAAATTGAAACATACAATAATCCTACAAAGTGGACAGGAATTTGCAGGTGCTTATTTTAGAGTTAAGGACTCTGAGGCTTAGCACGGTGACCTGGCTTGCCCAAGCTCACACGGCAGGCTTGCAGCATTGCTCCATATTGGCATTCAGGTTCTTTGACTCCTGAACTCTTCTTGTGACCATAATGCCTCAGAAAGAAATCCAAAGGCTCAGATACTCCTGGAAAACATTTATTCACTCGTTCTACAAGTTCTCATTTCATCCTACTGTGTGGCAGCTTCTGGAGTGTCAGGGGTGAATTAGCGAGGTCCATACCCTAACGTCCTCACAGTCTGTAGGATAAACAGGGCACACTATTATCCCTCTCTGGATTTTTCTTTAACCTGCAGATTCCTTCTTTTTCTCCACATTTTGGTTTGAAAGACACAAACTCACTTTCCCTATAGAAAATGGATCGCCTCCCTCATCTCTTCAAATGCTTGCTGTTTTGGTCTCCTTCACAAAGTATATTATGTGCATTAAATCACTGAGTCATTCAATATTTATTGAGCACCTATTATGCGCTAGGCACTGTTCTGCATAGTATATATATAAACCATCCAGAGGACAAGTCTTGCTGGAGTGGAGTGAATAGGGGGAGAGAGGAGTAGAAAGAAATGAGACCAGAGAGGAGCCAGGGATAGAATATGGAGCAAAATGGCCTTAGAAGCACTGTAAGGACATTAACTTTTACTCTGAGTAAAATGGGGGAGCCACTGAAAGATTTTGATCAGTGGCCTGATGTGACTTCTGTCATGGTGTGGGATTAGAAGCAAGAGCCCAACCAGTGAGGGGTGAATGTGTGATCCAGACAAGAAAAGAGGGGCGTGGGCCTGGGAGGGGCAGTGGAGGGTGGTGAGCAATGGATGAGTTTTGTTTATATTTTTAAAATCAGGTCAACAGGAAGTGTGTGTAGAGAGAGACACTAAGGACCAATGCAAAGTTTTGGTCTCAGCAATGGAAGGGCAGAGATGCCTTAATCAAGAGAGGGAGACTATGCAAGGAACAGATTTGCAGAGAAGTGCAGGAGCTCAGCTTTGGAAGTGCTCGCTAGGTTTGAGATGGCCATTAGACCGTCAGATGGAGACGTGGCATGAGGATACCTTGAAGAGATATGAAATATGGGCAGTGCGGCCCACCCTGGTGGTGCAACAGGCTAAAGCACAATGCTATGAAGCTGTCTGCAGCCACTGCAGCACAAGTTCAATTCCCAGCCCTGGAGGAGACCACATGATACAGCAGACCTCTCTTGTCTCGCCCGCTGCTCCCCTCAGCAGTGTACTTCACTCAATCTGCCTGCTCCCCACTCTGTCTCTGGTGAATTCTCTCACCACCACCCCCGCACATCTGGCCTGTACCCCGGTTCTTGTATACATAAATAAATCTTAACATATATATATATATATATATGGGGAGTTTCCAGCATTTTAAAAGCCATGAGAGGAGTAGCCACGAGTGTCAATAAACAGTGCGGGTCAAGAGCTAAGCCTGGGGCACTCCAACCCAGAGAGGCTGGAGAAAAGGAGCAGCTGGTGAGACTGGAGGAAACCTGGAGATCGAGGAGAGTGTTTGAAAGGGGAGTGTTTAGTGGTTATTGTCATCTCTCCCTTCAGATGCCACCCTGCCATATACAGTGGCAGTTGGGGACCCTAGGTCACAAGAAAAGCTTAGAAGGCTCAGGACTTGGGTGTTTGCTAGGCTGTGAGTTCTGTAAGGGAGGATACCAAATGCCTTGTATATTTCTATATCCACAGGACCTACCCATTGCTTAGCACAAAATTGGCACCCACTAAACAGACCAATAAATAAAAGCAAGTGTGAGTGTGGAGACATGGGGGTAGGGAACTAGAGAGGCAAGAATGGCTGTAAGGGTCTGCCTTGGCTAACTACCCTAATCACCCAAAGTGCAGGACCCTGAACTTCCTGGGTTCCAGTGTCGAAACCATCACCTGCTTCCTGTGAGATCTTGCATAAATTATCAATACTTAGCATCTGGGTCTCAGTTTCCTTCTCTGTAGAAGGGAAGGTTGTAATATTTGCCCCTAAGAAAGACCGTGACTATGAACCGAGTTAATGCTGGCTCCAGACCTGGCATGGGCTGGCACTCAATTCCTTTTGGTGTCCTCATGACATTACCGTGACAGTGCCCACATCGACTGCTTTGGATAAAGTCTATCAACAGCAGAGTTGGATAGATAAAGTCTCTTTTAGCCATTTTGAGTTTTCATTCCATGGGGACAGTCAGGGGAGGTGTCCTGAGGGTTTCCGTGACTAGAGTTAAGTAAGGCATCACGAGAGCACAGAAAGCAGGTTGGATGGGAGAAGGGAGAAGCAGAGAGGTCAGTGCAGATCCCAGGAACCTCGAGAATGGCACCCGGTGGAGGCTGGGGGCGGTACCCTCCCACGCTCAACGCACTGGGGAGGCAAGTCCGGGCTCACGGTACCCTCGAGCTCACCCTATTGGCCACAGCCAGGATGACAAGGTTGCAGTAGGCGTCGGGGCTGGGGTCCTGAGGGTCCAGCGGGTTGGAGCCCGGGTGGCGTCGCTCCCAGCTGCCGCCGCCGCTGCCCGCCTG